GTGCCACGAAGAGACGAAATGTTGCGTCTGAGTTGCGTGAAAAGAAATATGTTCTGAACGAAGAACGACGTCCGATAGTGATTTCAGTTCATTTCTGGCGCCTCGGTTCCAATGCGATAATATTTTCTGTCACTCTCTTTCTCCCTCCTTCTCTCTCTCTCTCTCCTTTTCTGTCTCTCTCTGTCTCTCTCTCTCTCTCTCTCTCTCTCCCTCTCATTTGTACGTTCTCTCACTTCAAGCATTCGCTTCTACTTAATTGTTAATGCTAATTTTACATTTTATCAGAGTTTTATTGCCAGCACGGATTCTTTTTCTGTCTCTCCTTGCATCGTACGACATATTTAGGTATCGGCAAGGTCGTCAAACGACCACGTGGGAAAAAATAAAATGCGCGCGTCGTACAAGAGTCACATTTTTGTTGAGCTAATGATCAACGCGATCAGTATATATTCGACATCAGTATGTAATTCAGATTTATAAATAATTTATGTTTAATTAATATTCCTAATCGGATTCTAATCATGTTTATTTATTATAAAAAATTTTTTTCTTTCAAATCGTCTACGACTTTGATATGGAGTTTCGCTTTGAAGAAATATTCTCATAAAAAATTCATTTTTTTATTAATAAAAATTAAATTCGATTTATCATTAATAAATACGGTGCCAATTCTTTGTTTAAATTGATTAAATTATTTTTGATTTGAATTATCATCCGAATTTTTTTAATTTCATCCAAAAAATTATATTACTAGAAATAATGCAACAAGTTAATATGATATATGACTTAGACAATTTTCATAATCACTTTGTTTAAGTATCTTTTTTCGAAAGCAAGAAATTAAAAAAAAGAAAAGAACAAAATGAACTTCTGCATTATCAATTTCCTTTCTGCATTATCAATTTCCACGTTATTATATGAAGAAACAAAAGAAAGAAAAGAAGCATTTGAAATTACAAAATTAACGTCGAAGAAGATGATGCTGAGTGAAACCAATTCTGGCACGGATAAGTTTCGCCACTTTTAATTAACGCTCCGTTTTGTTTTACTTCTCCTCATAAATTTGCCTGGGTCTTGATTCTTACACATTAATATCTTCATTTTCACTTTGGTTGCTCTCTTTCAGTATAAGAAAGATTATGTGTGTGCGTGTATATATATGGAGGGGAAGAGAGAAAGAGAAGAAAGCGAATAATGAAATCGTTGCATACTCTGTGCAATGGAAAAAAATTTTTCGACGTGAGATTTAATACTTTTAATGTTTTATTTTTAACCTATGAATGAATGAAACATTTATCAGGAAGATACGATTTCTTAATCTCAACGTATAAGAACAATAATAATAGATATGAAATAATAATAGATATGAAAGTTTAAAAGAAAAGAGGATAATGATACTTAAAAGAGAAAGAAAGAAAGAGAGAGAGAGAGAGAGAGACAGAGAGAGAGAGTGCGTGAGAGAGAGAGAAAGAGAAATCTGAATTAAAAGACGAAGAAAAGTAGAAAAATTCATTCCAAGAGAGAAAAAGAGAAAGAATGTATGATGAAACTTGAAAGAAAAACAGAGAAAGAAAGAGAGAGATCTGAATTAAAAGAAGAACTAGAAAGATGCATTCATAGAGAAAGACAGGGGGACAGACAGATAAATAGATAGATAGATAGAGAAAGAAAGTGTGAGAGAGAGAGAGAGAGAGAGAGAGGAAGATAAAGAGATAAATCAATCTTTAAATTCATGAGCTATCTTGAAGGAATCGAAGTCATTCGGTTATACAGAAATTTAAAGTGTGACTTTCACAGAACAGTAATAGGGAGAGAGAGCTTGATAATTAGTTCGCTGGAGATGAAGGTGAACCAAGAAAGAAAGAATAAGAGTGAAAAAGACAGAGAGAGAGAGAGAAAGAGAGAAACGGTGTATATGTATTACTAAAACTAAAACTAAAATACTATAACAGATGAACGAGTTAGTTTGATTTTGTTATACCGACTTCTAGTAGGTATTATACAGACTCATTGTCAACCTGGAACAATCGACGTTGTGTCTGCCTACCTTCAACAGATTCGTTCCCGCCTCTGACGATAGAAAATCGATCGAAAACATTTCAAAACTTTCGAGGGCTTTTCTCTAATGTCTTGATGATCTTGCGCTCGTGTACTCTTTTATCCTATCGGCATAGTCGAGGGGGAAAGATATCCCATCATTAATCGCACGTTTCACTTTTGCGAACATTTTTATATTTTTTGTTTACCTTGTCAAATTGTTTCTGTCCAATCATTCTTTTTTTTTATTTCTTTTTTTTTACTCTCCACTTTGAAACAAAGATGGTTGATTAACTTTTCTTCTTTTTTTCTTATTCTTTCTTTTTGTATTTTTTTTCTTTTTTTTTTCTGTATGATGTCACTATAATCTGATATTTCTTATAATTTATATAAAATATAATTATGTTATTTTTTTCTAGCAGTTGAGCCAATATATATATATATATATATATAAGACATTCGTGGTAAATGTTCAATGCTTTGATTTCCTCTTTCTCTCTCTCTCTCTCTCTCTCTCTCTCTCTCTCTCTCTCTCTCTCTCTTTATTTTTCTTTTTCTTTCATTTTCTTCTTCGTTCATAAGATTTTGAAGATGATTTTCCTACATTTTTCTATTAAACTATTTTTTATGTTTTAAATTTGAATATCCATTTAAACTTTATTACGATGATTTTAATTTTACGATAAAATAATATATATATATATATATGTATTATAATATTGTATTATTATAGAATAGATCTATTTATTTTTTATAATATTTGAAATATTGCTATAAAATCTGAAATACTTCATGTATATCGGTGATAAGAAATATAAAAAATACGAAACATTGTCTAATCTGAAATTATCATTTACAAGTCATGTATTTGGTATAAAATAAAAATGTAATTTTTAACATTGCATATATATATATGACTCAGACACGATAAATCTATATACGAAATAGTGTACTTATAAAATATTTCATAATGCTTTTTTTATCGTATAAGTATCAGTATTTTTTTAAAGATATGAAATATTGTCTAATCTGAAACTATTAATTCGAAATCGAGTACAAGTATAATTGTTATTTTTAATATTACAAATGTCACTATATATATACATCTATGATATACATACATACATACATACATACATACATACACATGTGTAATTTAGAAAAAAAAGGGATAAATTTTAACACGGAATAATCTATAAAATATTTCATATTGTATATTTTATATCTATATTTTTAACAAATATAATTAAAAACCAATGACGTTTAACAGATCTCGAAAACAGCTTATTCGTTTTTTACTAGAGAAAAGTAATTTCAAGATACTCGTAGCTGATAATGAAAGCAACTTATGGGGTATATTATATCGTTCTTCGTATAATGACTTGTACTATTTGGTAGAATAGAAAAAGATTTAGGATAGTCATTTGAATACGAATCGAGTCTTAACAATGATTTAGGTTTTACGAAAATGTATGTTTGTATATATGTACACAGGTACATACCAACATGAACGTAAAATAATCAATTCACGTAAAAGTTGTTGTGAGACATCCCCATATGAAAGAGGACGTAACGGTGAACGTGGGATAGATCACAACGCAATTTATAAACGATTGAAAAAGGGAGAGTGAGAGAGAGAGAGAGAGAGAGAGAGAAAGAAAGAGAGAGAGAGCCAATATATATAATACTCCATAGGGAGCCATATCCTCGGATAGAAAAACCCCATAGATCCAAATCCAATCGGTTCAAGACATTCGTGGTAAATGTTCAATGCTTTGATTTCCTCTTTCTTTCTCTCTCTCTCTCTCTCTCTCTCTTTATTTTTCTTTTTCTTTCATTTTCTTCTTCGTTCATAAGATTTTGAAGATGATTTTCCTACATTTTTCTATTAAACTATTTTTTATGTTTTGGATTTGAATATCTATTTAAACTTTATTACGATGATTTTAATTTTACGATAAAATAATAACGAACTGAGAATGGAAATAAATGGAAAAGAGAAAATTATTAATATTGGATTGTTTTATTGAAGATTTATGTTAGTGGACAATCATCTCGGCTTTAAGCACGGGTTGAGAAGTTAAACGATATCATTTTAACGTGCATTCTCGGTAAAGAAGCCTGCGGGCTACTGATAGAATTCATTATGCTTTGGGGGTGAACGTTACCGTTATTAATACCGCCATATAAGAATATGAACATACGTATAAACATGAACGATAGACGACGTATAGACTATGTTTATAAAATAACTCCTAAAAACATGTGAAATAAGAAAAATGAATAATTTATCAAACATTAATCCACCTTACATACGTATTATATAAAAGTTTCACTTCATAATTTTCTTTTTTAACTAGATCTATCTTAAAACTTTAAGAAAAATATAAACATTTAAATTCTAATTTTGGTATTTACGTAAGCGTTACATCGAACTAATAAAAACGACATTATCATTAATTACTATTTCCTATCTTTAAATAATCGAAAGGGGATCGTCTCGAATATAATGATAATGAAACACGAGATTTTTCCGCGTTATCTCGTGGAGTAAGTATTTCAAGAATTCCAGAGAATACAACAAAATTAGAAGATTCATGAATCATCGCTAATATAACACGAGAATTTGAGTTTGTCTAAAGAGAATAATCTTCAAAGATCGTACGTGAATCTATGATTGATAAATCTTGCTGATATAATTTAAACCGATGATGATCGCATATCAGCAATAGATAATTCTTTCGATTATCAAGAAGTACCTTCGAATTATTTATATATTTAATCTTCAAAATCTTAATTCTTGGTTGGAGATCGTTAGTATTATATAAGTCTAATTTTCATAAAAAAAATAGATAGAAATAGATGGTAAGAAATTAAAAAAAAGGGATATAGAATAGATAAGAAAAAAAAAAGAAGAAAGAAATAAAACAACATACATATATACAGACACATACTTTACTTACTTTTCGATGAATTTTTAATTCCCCTTTTCTTAGCGAAGAAGTTCTCCTTCGAAGTAACAGCTCTCAGATTAGAATGAAGGAAAGAAGAATGTCAACTTTCCACGTAGAATCTATCAAAGATTCCTTCTATCTCCTTTTGTCAGTCAATACTTATCTCCTTCTCCTCTTCTTTTTATCCTTCGATCGATACGTCGTCCTTCAAGGTCGCGTTCTCCACTTCGAACTGAAGAGTTCGAAATGAGATAAGAGGAACGGATCACCGAAAGTAGTAAAAGATAAAGACGGATATATAGACAGATAGACGGATGAATAGATGAATGGATAGATATATAGATAGACAAAAAGAGAGATAAAGAGAGAAAAAGAGAGAAAAAAAAGAGGGTGCCTCTATATTCTTTTCTTTATCTTTTTTTTCTCTTTACTCGGCCAAAGATTATAACAGGGCAGCTTTAACAGGTGGCACGTCGCCGGAGTTCCTCACCGTTCGGAGTACTAACGACGTGTAACGTCGACGGCACTGCGAGAGAGCTTTTATAGCCCGGCGTTGACGCGACACCTCTCTTTCTCTCTCTCTCTCACTCTCACTTTCTCACTCTCTCTCTCTCTCCTTCTCTCTCTCTCTCTCTCTCTTTCTCTCTCTCTTTCTTTCTCTTTAGAACGTCTATCTTTCGATACATGGTTCGACTATTCCCTCTGTCATTCCCTCTAGGACCTCCCTTGACCCTAGAAAACGTTACTTTCAGACCTTACCTTACCTTTATCTCTATTCTTTTTTTTTCTCTCTCTCTCTCTCTCTCTCTCACACACACATATACACATATTCTTATTGTGCCTACTTCATACGTAGGCATATAGGTCTCTCTCTCTCTTCTTTCTCTCTCTCTCTCTTTCTATATGACGCCTACTCTTTCGAAATTTTCATTGAGTGACGACAAATTTAGAATCGCATCGTCGACAGATCACTATCATAGTCCCATGATATTCATTTCAACGTTACTTTAAGGTACGAAGGGTAATGGAATGATAAGTTTGGAATATACGTTAGGTTAACTTTTTATAGTTTTAGAAGCCCTTTTTTTCTTCATTTTTTTGTTGTTCTTTTCCTTTTTCTTCCTCTTCTTCTTCTTCGGTCGTTTTCGTTGTTTCGATTATTCAAAAAAATTTGATATTTATTCCTTGGGATTAAGTTATTTTAATTCGTGATATATGAACTTATATCCATTTGGATAAAAATTATCCTAAATGCGTGATACCTATTCTCTCTAGCGTCAAAATCATGCTCGAGATAAGGAGTTTCCCTTCGAGAATTCCTACCAACGGAACGTTCAAAGGATGAGAACACGGTGGTGGAAGGTTGACCCAGTTGAAGCGGAAGTGACCACCGACCCGTGGCGACTCCGATTAAATGGCCGATTAAATTAAGTCACTTCTGTGCTTTGGATCATATGGATATAGGGGAAGAAAAAAGGAAATTATCTCATCGATCGAATATTTTTCATATCGTCTTCGACGATCGATTTGTATAAAAATCACTCATTATCAGCGAATGTAAAAATATCAGTATATTATAACATCATGTCTTTTACTTTTTATTATTGATATTATAAAAATAATCTAAGTCAATATATTTATATTTTTTATATATAAGTATTTATGAAAAAACTCGAAATTTATTGTTATTTTTTTTTATATCAATATATAAGCATATTTATTTTAATATGACATAATATACATGAATTGAATTTTTTCAAGATTTTTTTTTTCCGTTTAAATATAATTCTAATAATATCGAACGTAATATTAATCTACTATTTTTTAGTAATTTTCGATAGACACCCAATTCACTTTTTTCTATTTTTCTCATCCTTCATAGATTTTAAGGAACTAATTATGGAGATAAGATTATGGAGATAGAAACTAAAATTGGAGATTAGAATAATTTTAAGATGAGCATTCTAAAAAAACTATATAGAAGAAATATCTTTTCGAGATCGTGCACATGTAATTTTATTTTTTGTCGACATTAATTTATAATTTAAATCGAATATAAATAATTTTTCTTTTTTTCTTTTTTTATTCATTTTAATATTCACAACACAACAAAATTCGTATATTGAATATTCGATATTTTCGATTTTTAATAAGACGATAAAAATTTCAGCAATTCGATCAATTCGATCATGCTCAAGAATCCTTATAAAAAGAGCAATGAATTGATTGCAATACTCATTTTTCCTACGTATGTACGCGTTCGTTCTACAATAAATTGTCGGTATCTACTTGGTGAACATGAACCGATGACGTTTATTACGAGAAAGGTTACGGCAACATCTGTGAGAGGACCGAAACGTTGATCTGCGCGATATTAATCAAAATCGTAGGAAACGTTTATTTTGGAAAACAACGCTGTTACTAAATTAGTATCCATTAGCGTATGTAATTCGTTACACGGACACGTTCCTGATTAAAAACATTTCTTTTGCAATCCGATTCTCTTGATAATATTTATGAATATTTCTATTCTTTTGCGGTTATTTTTTTGTTTCTCTTTTTCTGTTTCTCTTTTTTTTATATTTTATTCACGATTAGAAAGCGATATAATGTCAATATACGTACATATATATATATATATATATATATATATATATATATATATATATATATCGTGAACACACAAGTAATCATATTTCATTTTTATTTAATAAATTAACGAGTCCGAGATTGTTAATTTTTTTAATAATTGAATTAATTGAAAATCATAAAAGCATTTGCGTTCCTTTTCGATAAAAATAAAAATATCTGAACAAAACAAAAAAAAAGAAAAAGAAAAAATACAAAAAGAAAAAAAAGAAAAAGAAAACTACTTCCTTTTTGTAATTTAATATTTTATTTGTTTATTTGCAATCCATTAATAATTATTTTATATTTTTTGCAATGTCACATTAAAAGAATTTCCAATAAATAAATATATTTAATATAAATAATATTTTACTCTTATTCGCCTAATCATTAATATTATTATTATTATTATTATTATTATTATTATTAATATTATTAATATTATTATTATTATTATTATTATTATTATTATTATTATTATTAATATTATTATTATTATTATTTATGAATAATATTTCATTTTATTCACATTATTATTTGTCAATTTTCTATTGTGATTTTTTTACTATACTAGGCTTTGGAAAATGTAGATTTTTTATATCAAATAACAGCAAGTAATTAATTAAAATTAATTTACGTAAGCCGTTCGAAAGATGCGAAGATGCGCACACGATTCTCATCGTTTAACGGTACGCTAATTCGCCGATAATACTCGTGGTGATGATAAAGTCCACTCGATGTCCATATATCCTCTCTCTTTCTCTCTCTCTCTTTCTCTTTCTATCTCTCTCTCTCTGTCATCATCTCTCTGTCTCTTTTTCTCTCCCTCTCTCCTTCCTTCTCTCTCTCTCTCTCTTACTAACTCACACTAAATTCACTCTCCCGTTCACTAGAGTTCGAATTAGAATCTCATCTCGAGAATTATTTGAAATTAGATAGATATTTCTCATATTGGAATCGCGATTTTGTCCTTGTGTTGTTCCTTCCTTTTATTGTATTTTGAATTCTTTGATATATAAATTAATTTCGATAAAGGTGATACAAACATTAGTCCGTATCGACATATTTAACGTTTGATAAATATTTCGAAGAAAATAAATCAACCGTTTCGAATGATTGATCAATCACGAATTGAAAACTATAACGATATTATTATAATTATAACATTTGAATATATCAAATATATTTTAACAATTATTTCTTCTCAACGTTTATATATATATATATATATATATATATATATATATATATATAATATCTCGGATTGATTATGTGAGGTGATAAATGAAAATATGTTTCTCTGTGAACAAAGGAATGAATCTTTATTTGTTAATTAATACTTATTTGTTATTTACAGTCTTACCTGTGAACAAAAAAACGACAATTTACGTTTATTATTCACACTACTTAAATTTTATTTGATATATTATCTTTTATGAATTTCTTTATACACTCTCGTGCTACTTCTCTCGTCTAAGTTCTATTTCCTACTGCCCGTTTCTCTTCCAAATCTTAACGGCTCGATTTGTAGGTAACAAAAGAATTTGTAGATAACAAAAGATAATGGAAGGGCGGGCCATGAGAAGCGCGGCAAATCTACCTGAAGAAAGTATACTTTCTTTACATATATATATATATATATATATATATATATATATATATATATATATATATATAGCAAATAATGTTATATATAAATATTATCCATTAGTTTTCAAAACAATTTTCAACAAAATAATATTTAGTTATAGCCTCTAAAAATGTCAAATTTATGTTAATTTTCTTGAAATTTAATACTACTTTTGATATACTTCAATATTATTCAATGATACGCGTTTATATCAAATTGTCTGTAGAATGAATATAGAAATTTATTAAAATAAAAACAATAAACCACAAAAATAAAAGAAAAAAAAAATGAAAAGAGGGGTAACAAAATCTTTATAAATTTTTTATTTGTTGTTATATTGACCTTAAAAGTGAGGAACAATCAATCAAATCAATTGAGTGACTCTCGTATTGATTAATTATCCTTGCATAGTAGGTGCGTGAACACAAATCTCACTATCCAGGTACTTAACTCTCTCTCTCTCGCTCTCTCGCTCTCTCACTCTCTCGCTCTTTCGCTCTTTCGCTCTCTCTCTCTCTCTTTCTCTTCTCTCTCTGTTTCATTCTCTCTTGGTCTCTATCGAAGAGAGTTTGTCGACCGTGATCAGCACGTCGACTCGTTGACTCGTTTGTAGAAGCAGCTGTTCGAACGATGTCCTCGGGTTATTGGACGATTTACCAACATCCCTCGATTACACCTACATATCAAACATTTTCCTTTATCCTCACGATCCAACTTCTATGCCTCGTGTCCGTTCGATAACTACAATCAACATGAAAACAAATTCGATCACGTTCTACGTTTGTATACGTTGAAATACGTTCGTAATACATTGAAATTCATTGTACATGGAAAAAAAAAGCGAATAAGTTCGACTCATTGTCAAAATTAATTTTAATTAAGTGTGGATAAATCGTATAAATGTAAAAAGAGATAGACGATCAGATTGTCTATATTGCGGTATGATTCATTGCATATTACTTTATTTTCTTTGTTTTGTGTTTTCTCTAAAAAATATAAACGTTATTTAAAAATATTTTACAAAAAATTAATATATTTTGATTAAAATTTTCTGGAATTTAATGTCATCGATATTTCGAGTTAAATTTATTTCTACGATTATCTACGATAAAAATTCATTTGATACGAATTAATTTATTTGTAAGTACAAAATACGAATTATTGAATATCTTATCTGTTTTCGAAATTTCGAATGTAATTTTATTGATATTTATAATAACTGTCATTAAACATTGAAATACATT